GTGTGGGGATGGAGAATAAAGAGAGGTAATAGATTGGTAGGTTGGATAAGGTAGCTTGTAGAAGAGTAAGACGACCACCTTTAGAAATAAAGGAGCTTTCCCAAGAGTTGAGCTTTTTCTTCATTTTTTCAAGGATGGGGTCCCAAAAAGAAGCTGATTTAGACTTACCATTTAGGGGGAGATCTAGGTAAGAATTTGGCCAAGTTCCTTTTTTGCAGGCAAAACGGTTGGACAAGAGATCCAATTCTGTTTCTATCAAGTTGATACCCAGCAATTCCGTCTTTTGTAGATTAGAATTCAGTCCTGATGCTTCTTCAAAGGTTTGGATGGTACAAAAGAGATTTTTAAGATGGTCACTGTTCGGTGATGAGAAAAGGATAGTGTCGTCTGCAAATTGTAGGTGATGAATTTCCAGCTGAGATTGCCCCACCAGGAAACCTTTAGTGAGATTCGATGTCGCTGCATGGGAGAGGAGTCTACTGAAACAATCAACAACAAGGATGAATAGGAAAGGGGAGAGGGGATCACCTTGTCTAAGGCCCTGGGAGGCCTTAATTTTACCTCTAGGCTTTCCATTAATGATGATAGAGAAGTTGGTGGAAGAAATGCAGCCTCTAATCCACTTTCGCCATCGGGATCCGAAGCCTTTTGCTGCAAGGATACCATCCAAAAAGTCCCAATCAACCTTATCAAAGGCCTTTTCAATGTCTAACTTTATCACCACTCCTTTTTCCTTTTTCCGCAAGTATTCGTCGATGAGCTCGTTTGCTATTAGTGAGGCATCAAGGATTTGTCTGCCCGCCACAAAAGCTGATTGTTGAGGAGAAATGGTAGATGGCAGAACCTTCTTAAGTCTCTCAGAAAGGACTCTAGCTATGATCTTATACATACAAGAGATCAAGCTTATAGGACGGAAGTCACTAACCGATCGTGCATCAACTTTCTTTGGAATTAAACAGATGTAGGTCTCGTTGAGGCTAACATTTACCATGCCCTTTCGAAAAAAATCTTGGAACACTCTAAGGATATCTTCTTTCAAAATGTTCCAATATTTTTTATAGAATTCTGCTGTAAATCCATTCGGACCCGGTGTTTTGTTGTGACCAAGATCCTTCACAGCAGCCCATATTTCAGACTCTGTGAAGGGGAATTCAAGACAGTCTCTTTGCTGAGGGGAGATGTGATCCCAATTAAGGGGGTGGGGGAGAAATCTATCATCGGCCTTTTTTGTATAGAGTTCTTCATAGAAAGACAGAAACTCACGCTCTATGTCCCCATCCTCTGTCAGACTCCTACCATCTCGGGAAAACACCTCCAAAATAGTACTTCGTCTTCTTCTAGCAGCTACCAATCGATGAAAGAAGCCCGAGTTTACATCCCCTTCATTCAACCATTTCATCTTGCATCTCTGCCTCCWRTGAGTTTCTTCTAAGACTGCYAAAGAAAGGAGTTGTGCTTTCAATGCTGTCCGATGAACTATATGTTCYGGTCGGATAGATCCCCTCTCMTCTACTTCRTCCAAGGAAGCTAATTCARTAAGGCACTGGTCACRTTGACGATGAATGCAACCGAAGGTCTCTTTCTTCCACAAACGAATCGTAGCTTTAAGACTCTTAAGTTTCTGAATGAAACCATGTCCGGGCCAACCSGTCACTGGGTTTGATTTCCACCATTGTTCAAWCATAGGAGAGAATGGGGGGTGTTGCATCCAYATGTTGTCAAACCGGAAGGGTGAGGGTCCCCATTGATTGATACCCAAWGAGACTTGAATGGGATAGTGRTCAGATAGTTCCCTGTCCAGAYGTTTGACCAAGGCATTAGGAAAATGATTGAGGAAAGCATCARAACATAAAAACCTSTCAATAAGAGAGAGATAAGGGGACTCCCTCAGGTTGGACCAAGTGTAGAGGCCATTGATAAGAGGGAGATCTCTGAGATTGGCATCTGCAATGAATTCATTGAAGAGGCGCATGCTGCGGGTGGGTCTCCGGTTGGTAGATTTCTCGTGCGACCATCTAGTGACATTGAAATCTCCCCCAAGGAGCCAGTGGTCCGAGCATAAGGTGGATAGGCCTTGGAGTTCCTCCCAAAAAAGGTGTCTGTCGGCAGCCCTCGATGGCCCATATATCCCAGATAACCAGAAGAAGAAACCGTCGGAGAGCGTAAATCTGAGGGTGAGGGAGTAAGAGCCAATGGAAATATCAGAAACCGAGAATGAGGGATCGTTCCAWAGAATGATAATACCTCCAGATGAGCCCGTGGATCCTTTGTATGCCCAGGCAATGTTCCTGGAACTCCAAAGCGATTTTATGAGGAGCCTGTCGACTGTCTGTATTTTGGTTTCCTGGAGGATWGCTATGGATGGATTGTGATGTTGAATGAAGCTTTTGATTTGGGCTCGTTTGTCCTTTGAGCCAATACCCCTGAYGTTCCAAGATAACACATTCATATAGTGGTAGATGGCCCACCAATGTGGATGGAGGAAGAAGATGGTCCATCATAATTAATGGATGAGTAAAGGCCTGTAAGCTCTCTGACGTATTTGTTCTGTTTCTTCAGCTCTTTGTTTAGCTTGGGCGTCTTGGAGGGTAGGGGAAGAATACCCAACCCCATCGTTCTCGGCCACGGGACCACTGGTTGGAGATAAATCGAGGGATGGATAGAGGGATCAAAGAAACATGGAGGAGAGGGAGAACGGTCCTCTTGTTCTTCCGAAAATAATTGTAATGCGAGGTGCTCAAAATTAGCGGAGGGGCTATTAGGTGGCGAGTGTCTGGTAATGGGTGAGAGGGGAGGAGAGGATTGTAGCAAGGAGGCATGTGAGGTTGGGTAAGGACTGGAGAGATGGTTTTCTGATTCGGGTTCTAAGGGGAGAGGATTGGTGTTGTACTTTGTGCCAGAGATGAGGAAGGCCTTTTTTGTCTTTATCTCAACGGCTATTTTAGGTTTGTGGATAACTTGTTTGGGTTCGGGTAGGAGGGAACAGGGGTTTGTTTGGTTGGGGGGATGTAGATGAGAGATGAGGAAACAAAAGCCCTTCTGTATGCAAAGGAACAGTGTCAGAGGATGGTAAGGCAGGTTTGGGGGTGAAATGAGTAATCACGTGATCATCAACAATAGGATCCTTCCCTTTTGAGCTATGGGCATTTTTCCCCATATCCGAGGAGTCAGGGGCTGTGGGTTTTGTAGATGGATCATTTAATGCGTCAGAAAAAAGGTCAACAGTGGTACCGTGTAGGTCTGGAGGTCTCTGTTGTAGGTCTGTATCACTGCCGCTGCAAATGTCAGAAGGTAAGGCTCGAGGGTACGGTCCTAGGAGGCCGTCCCCAGTCATTTTCCTGTGCGTGGGATGAACTTCCGGTGGTCGTTCTCCATGGATTCTGGCCAGATAGCCGATGAAAGAATCGTTGGAGAAAAAAGGATCAATGTGTACTTCGTTAACTTCTTGATCATCTGCGGGTAAAATAATCTTGGCTGGGATAAAACCCACGAAATTCTTCTCCACCCTAATTGTTGCCTCCAAGAGATCCATTCGGGATAGGGTCTTCTTTGCTATTTCTATGAACCCTCCACAGCAGTTTCCAATGTATTTTAAGGTATCATCATTCCATCGGTCTAAAGGCAAAGATCTGATTTTTATCCATCCCCCATATGAAGGGACCACTGGGTCTTTGTAGGAGGTCTTGTTATCCCACGGAACAAATCTGAGATCATAGCTACCCACCTTATACCAACCCTTCATATTGGTAAGGGATTCTGCTTGTTCAATACCTTCACATCTTAGAAGAGCTCTATCGGCTGCAAAAGGATTAAGGGAGCAGAAATAACTAATGTGTTCTTGTAAAGCCCTCATGATTTTGAACCAGTCATCGTGAAACTGTCGTCTGTAGTCAATAATGGAAGATTCTAGATTCGGATTAGCGTGTGGGTAACGAGAGGATGAAGCAACTTTCAAATCCTTTGACTTTATGGGACCTACATGAGCTTTTTTCACGTCTTTAATGGTGGCTGTGTTAGTTTTGACAACATCACAGTACGTGGAAGAAGACTTTTGCTGATGACAAGCAGCAGGTAGGGTTGTAGCTGGAGCAATCAATTTCTCTGACTGTGTGTTAGGTGTGAAGTCTTTAAGGAGGTTGTAAAAGGTGTTCCAGCCCCTTCTTTCTTCTCCAACCGGAACCAGGATTTTGTTAATGCTCCCATTGTTATCTAGTCTAGCTATTTCCGCAATTGTGCCTTTTCGATTAGATGACTTTTCTACCCACAAAGCTTGATCATCGATCCTTGTCTCTCTAAAGAAGCGCTGGTTGATTGGGGCAGATAAGAGGGAGGAGAAACAGTTGGCGAGCCATGAAACAGAGGACCAAGAGGACCAGTGAATAGAGATGAAGAAGGCCTTGTCTTTCGAGGTTTCTGAGATTTTGATACGAGAACCCCGATATCTATGGTCCAACTCTACCGAGAAATGCTTTCTTTCTATCGTGGCAGACCTATGAGAGGGCGCTGGTTTGCCGAACATGGCTACCTGTGAAAAAGCTTAGGGATGGCATGGGGTCGGTGGTGGGGGGAAGATGGGAGTGATTGTGGAAAGGGTGACGGTGAGGAGAGAGGAGGGGGAATCCATTTTTTTAGAACTTTGTTTGATCGTTTCCTTTGTGATTCTTTTTGGAGGTAGCCTAACATGTACGTATAACTATTATTCCTCGACACATTTACCCATGCAAATACGTCTATCTAACTAACTTTCATGGGATGTATTTCCCCTTTTGCCACTCCTACTTTAGGCACTAACCATTGAATGTGGCCTATCACATACGTTTCTTAATTTTCTATTGATTTGGTGATCTTCCGTATGATTTGGTTATATACACAAGAACGGTAGCTATTGAACACTTTCTAGAAGTTCCCAATCTATATCTATTTTAAAGCACTAGTTCTTTGTTTTATTATTATTATTCTTTTTTACCTTCTTTCTGTACTATATATAGAGAGTGATACCTCAGCAATGGAGCTCTTCGTTTTATTGCCGAGTTCAAATTTTAAGGTGCTGTAATGGAATCTTGTTTCTTTCCTTCAACAGTCTGGCACTTGCAACCTGAGGGAGGCTGTGATCATTGGGAGCATTATTCAAAAGGTTACTATTCCTGTGCTTCATTCAAGGCAAGTTGGTCATTTTTGTATGTCTTAATGATTTAGAGTTTATTTCTTGAGATCAGGTACACGCACAAAAACATTGAAATAATCTTTTTTGTTTGAGTTGTTGGATTGAAGATTTTGGATCTGTCTGTCCATTGCAGTGTTGCATTATTTAAGCTTGCAGAGATGGAGTATTGTGGCACAACAAGGTAGAATTATGAACTTCCCAGTGATACTGTACATAACTGCATGTGTTTATTTTATTTTCATTAGGAGGTGAAAGTTGAGTGTTATTTATCGAGTATTGTGGAAACAAGTTAATGCAACTCTGAACTTATGTAAGCAGTACACTGTTCACTTTTGTGTTATATTCTTGCACGGTAAATTCGTATAATGTCACACTCACATGTTATAGCTGTAAATTATTTCAAAATTTTTATCTTTTCTTCTCTATTGCAGCCATCATTTTTTTTAAATGTAATAAAAATAAAATTCCTTCATGTTTTTAGTGGTCACTTTTTGTTGGCAGGGCCTTTTTTTAGGCCTTTTCTTCTAAGCCTATGCGCTAGAGACGAGGCAAGCTGTACATCTTAAACAAAAGCTGTACATTGGTTGGAACAAATTCCATTTTGGTTTAGATCTCCACCTCCGCTTTGTACTAGTTTGTACTATTCAACCGACAATGAAGACTAGATTATATTTTTCTTAATTGTTTGTGTCTGACAATGTTGTCTACAAACATGCACAGAGGATTTTGTCATCAGATTTGATTGCGAAGTCTGTATCTGTGTCCAGGTTTTCTTTCTTTTTTTGGTTGGGGGAGTAATCTCTTTGCCTATAGAAGGGAGAAGTATTGTATCTTTGCCATGTCTATTTTTACATTTTGGATTATCGGTGTAATGAAAATTTCTATAATTTTGTGGCTTAGTTTTTATTTGTTAGCTATGTTTGTGACTTGGTTTCTGTATGTGAACTTGCTCTGCACATGGGAGGTATGAAGGTAATACACTAATAGATGTTCTAGAAGGGTGTGTTTAGTTTTTTGATGATATAGTTTAGGCGATTACTTGGTGTTTATCGTACCGCTTTTTCCATTTCTAAAGCTTTAATTTTCTTCTCTGATTGGAAAGATTTTTTTGTTACTTCCTTGGATTGAAGTTTTTTCTCCTCTTTTGTAATTGCATTGCATTCATCAAGTATTCTCTCATTCAATGTGGTGTGTATAAAATTTCTTTGTGCAATGCCTGACTGGTGGCTTCATTTCATCATGGCAGTTATTTCATTAAACTTATATTGGAGAAGAAATATGCATTACCATATCGTGTAGTTGATGCCCTTGTTGCACATTTTATGAGGTTTCTTGAAGAGACACGAGTAATGCCCGTAATATGGCACCAGTCACTACTTGCATTTATGCAGAGGTTAGCAAAATCTTTTCTCATGTTCTTGGCCTATTCCATGCGTTAGGTTGCATTTTGGTACACATTAATTATATCTGTATTAAATCTTCATAATAATGTTTTTCATGAAAATAAATCCTCCATGTATCTAACAGTTTTCTGTTATATTGTTTTCTTACTTGGATATTTTATTTATACGTCTTATTCCTCATTTAGTGCCATGATCATTATAGATCTGAAGACAAATAACCATGATTTTATTGCATATAAGAGAAGATTAAGCTAGCCAGACATTTGAACACTCTCCCATTTTCTAACTTCACTGAAAAGATGACTTTATTTCTTCCAAAGAACAAACTAGATATGGACATGCGTAACTACCCAAGGGGTAAACATAAGACGAACATAACTACCTTACCCATAACTACCCAAAAGGATCCAAAAGAATAAACATACAGGGTGCGAGTTTGCTACTAGTTACAAATGTACCGCACATAAATAGGGTGCAAGTTGAAACTGAGAAAACTGTAAAAACCAAGCCAATCGAGCTGAATTGAATTTGGTTGGTTGCTTTTATCTTTAATCGTTCGGGCAGGTTTTGCCCCTAAAAACTGATCAAAATCGGTTTGTTTTGATTTGGACTTCCTAGAACTGAATCCTAAACTGAACTGACCAATGCTGCGTTCTATAAAACTGGACCACCCGAGCACCCGCACCATCCGAAATAGAATCACTGCCCAGCCCCCTTCTTTCCTGTGCACTGTCTTCGTCATGCATCCTGACAACCCTGGCCCCAGGAAAAAAACCACCAAACATCTCAACCGCACCCCTTAAATTTCTTCCTTCCCTCAGTGTGCAGCTCCCTAAAGAAAAGAAGACGGGAGTTATGCACTAATGGTGCATGAAACAATTGAAAAATAAAGCTAGATGAGGAAAGTTTAGGCAATTTTAAGGAAGACTAAAATGCTAACAGGCTGAGAATCTCCAAGAGGAAATTTTTGTTACATGGATAGCAAAATAACAGCAAGAGAAAAGTTCTATTCTGAAGGACAGATAGCAGAACAAGCTTTTTCCAAGGCATGGTGTTGTGCAAGGGCCTTCATCTGCTGGGAGAAATTGTAGGGCCAAATTGCACAGCAAAAACTTTGCTGCAAGCTGGCAGTGCTTCTCTGTCACATTTGACCATTTGAAGCACTCTGATGGTCTGATTTCCTATGTGCCTGAGCTGTCTCCCTCTCCTATCGTCTGGACTTTGCCTTTTGCCTTTGTCATTGCCTTCACTGTTTACCTTTCCATACTGTAGTCCTCTCTCTTTCTCCCATGCTGATTATCTCTTCCACTCTTCCCTTTGCAATTTGGCTGATTCTCTCTCCCTCTCTACCCTTCGCCCAATCACATTAACCCCTTAAGACTACAATAGCGAACTGACCGAAACATTAGTGGTGGTTTGCTGAGCTAGAGTTTTGGCACCTTATTGGTTCAGCTTGGTTCTTCTTTTAATATTAAATTTTTGGTTGGCTTGGTTTTGGTTTGATTGAAAAGTCGAGCTGAATCGAACCATTTACATCCCTGCACTACATGTAACTACCTAACACATAAATAACCATCTCCATGCAAATGTCCCTTTTTTTAGGCTTGTTTTTGTATGGCCCTTGTATACTCTTTCATTTTTTTTCTTAATGAAAGCATGGTTTCGTATTAAAAGAAAAAGACCGCCATGCTAATGTCTAATATGTCTTAATATCCCCAATTCCTACTAGTATTACTAGCAGACTGATCAATTGATTTAGTATTCTAGCATTTATGATCACCGATTATCAATGGCCCACTTCTTTTATTTAGTGACTTTGGGTGAGAGATGTTGAGGAGTGAAATTCTTATTCATTTTGAGTTGGTATAGTGGTAATAAGCTCAAATCCATTAAATTTTTGTGGCTATTTTGTTTATCGGAGCACATAGGTTATAATTTATTAAATTCATAGATAAAACGCAAGTGAAAAATAGAGAACATGAGGTGAAGTTGTTTGAAAAGAGAGGAAAAGTGAAGTATGAAAAAACATTGAAAAGAGGGGTGGAAAGAAAGATGAAAGAAAATGAAAAGAAAAAGACAAAAGAAACGAAAAAAATAGAAACGACAGATAATACTAAGAGCTATGTAGCCATTTTCTCGAATAGGATTTCACAGTAGAGGAAGTGTACAAGGTAGTCTCAAATCCGGGAACTAACAAGTCCCTAGGCTAGACAGAATTTCAAAAAGAATCTTGGACATCAGCAAAGCTAGCATCATGGCGATGTTCTAGGATTTTTTAGAAATGATATCATAAACGTGAGCCTCAATGAGACATAAATTTGCATATGCTCCAAGATTTTTTCCTTAAAAATGGTATTATAAATGTTAGCCTCAAGGAGACATAAATTTGCCTCCTCCCCAAAAAGAGAGATGCCAAAACGATTCATGACTTCTGCCCGATCAGCCTCATCCCATGTGCCTACACAAAATCCTAGAGTGCTCTATGAGAGGCTCAAAACGTCCTCCTGCACACCATCATTGGATTCCAATCAACTTTTGTTTAAGGGAAATAAATCCTCGATGCATCGCTTATTGCAAATGAGATCCTCAATGACTGAAAAGAAAGGAAAATCGAAGGAACAGTGGTAAAGCTAGACTTGGGGAAAGACTTGGTGGATTGAGACTTTTTAATCCCGTACTTCGCTACAAACAATGAAGCACAGACACTCCATTTTAGGTGGAGTGTCCATGTCGGCATGGATACACTCGGACACGCTTTGGACACGTGTTCGACATGCCAATTTAAGTGTCTGATTTTCTTTTTCTATTTTTCTAATTTCGGACACGTTGGGGCAAGGATTAGACACTGCTGTTGAATTAAAACCTAGGAAAAAGCCTCTTCCCCCTGCCCCTAAGCTGTATTGCTGCCCTTTTGTTGATAAAAAGTTTCTTATCCAAAAAAAAACCCTAGGAAAAAGCCCTGCCCATCCGAGAGTGAGTTGCTGCTGGACGGAGTCGTTGCTGCCACTGCCCACCTTCACTGCAGCCACCACCACCAGTTTTGCCATTGATGACGACGCTCACTTGCTTCCGAGACGAAGGAGAAGAAGTAGAAGAAAATGAAGAGAAGTGAAAAATAGAAAGAAAATAGAAAGGAGTAGAAGAAGCGTCGAAACACTAAGGAGAAAATAAAAAAAGGAGAATGAGAAGAAGAAGAAGAGACAGAAGATGGAGAAATATCAGAAGCATTAATGACTGCATGCAGTACAGTACCTTCCCTTCATGATTGATTGAAACCTTCCTCTTCCAAATCCTCCATGATTGATTGATGGCAACTTTTCTAAATAAGTATATAGGTATTTTTAACTCTTTGGTAGTATTTTTTTGCTGGACTAACAAATAAAGGCTTGTTTTAATTTTTTATGATTTAAAAGTCGAGTATGTATTTATTTTTATCTATAATAATTATAGATAATATTTATTTAATATTTTATTGAGTAGATTTTGTACTATTAATTAATACACTAGCAAAAAAGATCCATTTGTATAGTTAATTTTTTTTGAAGTTATGGTTAATTTATTTAAAAATATTAAAACATCAATATATACACATATTATTCAATTTTTCCTTAAAAAATAACGTGTCAGCAACATGTTTGTGTCCTGTACTTTTAGAAATTGGCGTGTCACCATGTCTGTGTCCGTGCTTCTTACGCTACAAAAGTTTTGGAACAAAATGGAGGAAATGGATTTGTGCTTGCATCTCATCAACGAGTTTCTCCATGATCATAAATGGATAAATAGGAGACCAAGAGGCAAATTTATAGCATCAAGAGGTATCTGACAAGAATATCTCCTATCTCCCATCAAGAGGTATCTGACAAGAATATCTCCTATCTCCCTTTCTATTAATCGTGGTCACTGAAGTCCTAAGCCGGTTACCCTTAGGAGAAAGCAAAGGTCTCATATCAGGCTATTTTTCAAGGTTTGACTCCATTATGATCAATCACTTATAATTTGCTGATGACACCCTCCTATTCTCTACCAAGGACCTGTCAAACAGCAAGAATCTTCTAAGAATTATCAAAGCTTTTGAGCTTGCACTGGGTCTCAACATATATTACAACAAATAAAAAATCTTAGGAGGATACTGGACACTCAGACTACTGTAGCCATTGCTAAAGCTTGCGGTGTAAAATGGGCTCTTGGCCGTCCACTTATATTTGAATCCCACTAAATGGTACCCAAGGAAGGGGCTTTTTGGTTACCCATCATTGAAGATTGGAGAATAAGCTTTCCAAATGGACCAACCTCTTCAACTCTAAGAGAGGAAGACTCACCATTATCCAATCCGTTCTCTCTAACCTTCTCACATACTACTTATCCATCTTCCACCCCTCTGGTAAGGCAGCCAAGAGGATACGAAAAATCATTGACTTTCTTTGGCCAGGTCCAAGCACAAACAGTAAGCAACACTCGTGGCAAAAAGTTCAGTTTCTCCTTCAAGTGCGAATATGAAGAAGAGAAACATTGCACTGTTATCCAAGTGGAGATTCCTAACAGAAAAAATCAGCTTTAGAGGAACATTATTAGAGCAAAACATTGTGGAGCGCATTTTGATGTTTGGCCAAACACCAACTCCAACAATTATTAAGGCCCATGGAAAGTATCCTCTCCCTAGATCAACATTATCAAAGCAAAAGCCATGCAAAGTGAGAGACAGCAGCAACATCAGCTTCTGACATGATAAATGGCTTGCATGAATCCCTCTTGCGGCAAACTTTCCTAGTATTTTCCCTCTTTCCACCAACAAATTTACCAGAATAAAAGATCTCTCTGGTCCAAAGCCACCCACTCTTGGGACTTCAGATTCAGAAGGCCTTTAAAGGATGCCAACATAGAGAAATGGCTGATTCTATCACAAAAGCTCTCCAAGAAATGCCCCTCCCAGCAGCAGATTGGCCCATAGACCCATCGAAATCTAAAAGCTTCACTATTAAGTCTAATCTGATTACAAATGAGAGCCAATATCTCATCTCTCTATACAACAGAATCTGGGAGGACAAATATCCAAAAAAGATAATTTTTTCTGGTTGGAACTCCGAACACAATGCCATCAGCACACAGGACACATTGCTCTCTCTCCAAGTTGCTGCCTCCTCTACTTTAAAGAGGCCAAAACCCAAGCGACACCTCTTCATCTCATGCAAATTTGCTGCTGCATTCTTGAACCGGGGCCTCTCGGTTTTTGGTTGGCAAACCCCACTACACACTAGCCCTATTATCTTCCTTCAACATTATTGGTGGGACACCCATTCAAGGATGGTTGAATTCTATGGATTCAACTGATCAAAGTCTTCCTTTGGAGTTTATGGTAGGAAAGGAACAATAGGATCTTCAACAACACTCTTCTCCCCTTTAATAGTTCTTTTGATAGAGATGCTTTTAGCTCTTGGCTGGTGTAAATATTTTATTCCTTTTTTTACAAATTAGTCTCAATGATCTCTTAACAAGCTAGAAGGCCTTTCCGTAATCCAGCCCTTTAGGTTTCTTTCGAATATGTCATATAATCAATGAAATATCCATTTCTTACCAAAAAATAAAAAATAAAAAATAAAGCTAGTTTGGAGGTTTCAGATCTAGGTGTGTTTCGTTTCTTGAGAATGGTTCTCCAGGTTTGTAAGCTCTATGATTTGGATCACTATTGGTTTTGTTGGTCTTATCTTCTAACTTGCAAGTATCGATATAGTTTATAAGGCTTGAGAAAAGGTACGAAATGTTGTTGGTGTAGAGAAGAGATTAAAGACAAAAAGGAAGGGAAAAAGAAAATAAAATAAAAAAAATTGACAGTAGAAAATAGTTGTCTGGGGAAGGAACAGAGGTGTTGTAATAGAAGTGTGGAAAAAGAAATAGAGAAAAAAGAGAGAGGTAGAAAACTGTTAGATTTTGAAGCCCCTCTGATTTGGTCCGCGTGTTCTTTGCCATGGATCAATTTTATATTTTTTCAATTTCATTTGTTTTGTTGGTCAGAAGTGATGGTTGAAAAGAAAATACATCACAATTTTATTTTTAAATCATTATTATTATTATCATCATAGTGCAAATAGGGGTATTTAGGAGAGGTTTATAATGTCTTAATCACTTTTTAAGTTAAAGCTGAGGTTAACTAATACATAACTTGAGTTCCAAAGTTTGTATATTATTAGTTTGTTATGTGTGACGAGTGGTGTCACTTGAGACTGCATTTTTTAGTTTTTTTAAAATCTCATGCAGGTATAAAAATGAATTGCGGAAGGAAGATAAAGCAAACATTAGAATTCTTCTTGAAAGTCATAAGCACAAAGATGTAAGACTGAATTCTTTTGATATGTAGCTTTAATAGATCTCGTTACTACTCTTAAGTACGGTATCAAATTACCTCAATTTATGTGCCTATTGTAATTCAGGTTACTCCAGAAATTTTGAAGGAACTAAATAATAGCCGCAGTCGTGGTGAGAAGGACACTACTACAAATATCCTTTTAACATAGTAAAATCTCGTATTATTATTATATGTTAAGTATCTTTTCCTGTGTGCTGGCAGTTTATCTAATGTTTTTTATGATACTAATCTTTGGTGACCAATCCACAATATTACAAGTTAGGTTAAAGTACGACTTTGGTCCCATGGTTTGGACATATTTTCAATTGGGTCCCTATGGTTTTAAAATTTGGCCTCTATAGTTTAGTCAAAATTCACAAATTGTCCTTGTTATCATATTGAATACGTGTAACATTATTTATTAAAGAGTTGATGCTTTATATTTGACCGCCTGTATTAAAGTTTAGTGCTGAGTAAAAAATATGAGAAAAAGGGTGGGTAGAAGCTGGTTTAAAGACGATGGGTGTGGTCTAATAGAGACCGAATTGAAACTAGGACCAAACTATGGAAGACTAAATTAGAAAATTTTAAGACCATATGGATCAAACTGAAGCGAAGTATGTCCAAACCATACAGACTAATTAATAATTTAACATATTCATGTTTTGATGAGGATAAGGTTGAATGTATAGTGTAGTGGATTGATTGATGTTGTGACAGGGGTTTGTTCCTTGACTTGCTTTCACTTCCAGCTCCTGTGTCTAAAGCTGTGGAAGAAGACAGGTTCAATATTCCACAAGTTCCAATGGAAGAGGATTGATTCACCCATTCCTCTGCTATGGCATCATGTTGGTGCTCAAGTTTTTGCAGTTGAGAAACAAGATATTATTGATTTGTAAAGATTAGTTTTAATATGCACATTGAGATCACAGTTTATAAATTTGTTATTTGGAAAAAAATATGTATTTTTGAAGTTTAGAATATATTAGTTTTTTTACCTAATGTGTTAGTGTTGTTCAATGAGTTAATTTTAGTTGAGTTTTGAACCTTTGTTGAGTCAGAGTAAAGAGTAATTTCTTTCTGAAGATTTGTAGTAATCATGAGTATTTTTTAATGGCTGAATGTGACTTTTCATGGATCTTCAAACTTAATATTTGGACTTATTTTTACTGATTTATGTGCATGACCAAGTAGTAATTTTACCAAAACATAAATCAGTAAAAATTACTACTTGGCCATGCACAATTAGTAAAAAACAAGTTCAAATATTTACTGATTTTTTTTTTTAGTATTTTTATGGACTCAACCACCAGTTTTGTTGCCTGCCGCATCGTTCCACCTATGTCTCATTTTTATGGACTCAACAACTTCAGGTTGTTCTTCTTCAGATGCTCCCTTGATTTATTTCTCCTTTGGATTTTTGTCTCCCTTGCTTGATTTTTATCTTTCTAGCTCGATTTTTGTCTCCCTCAGCTTGATTTATGTCTCCTTCGATCGATATCTTCAGTCTCTTCTCTCTCTCCCTTCCCACTATGGTATTTAACTAATCTACTTGAACCTATTTTTCTTATACAACGAAATAACTTCATGTGTATCCCTCATGTTGTAGACGTGTGTATTAAAAAAGTGGCTATGGAGTATATTTTTTTTATTTCTTTTTTGCTCTCTTTAATTTGTAATATATTTAAATTTAGTTATTAATAATTAATTTCAAATAGAAGTAAAATTGTATTGTGGCTAGGAAAAAGAAACCAGGGGAACATGAGATATGACTAAATGAATCCACTACGTATTAAGTGTAAGGATCTTGGCACTTTCACCATTCCATGTTCAATAGGAGGCAAGAACTTAGGCAGAGTCTTGTATATTTAGGGCCACTATAAACCTCATGATTTTTTAGTAGATCAATTAGCGTAATCCTTTAGCTTCGTGATAGGTCTATTAAAAAGCCCCAAGGTAAGATAGAAGATGTCTTGGTTCAAGTAGACAAGTTTATATTTCCAACGAACTTTATATCTCAAATTACGAGGCAGACATGGAGGTACCTATTATTCTTAACCGCCCATTTTTAGCAATTGGGGATACCGTGTTTAATGTGAAGAAGTGAGAGATCACTATGAAAGTAAATCATGAGAAGGTTAAATTTAATGTACTAGATGCCATGAAATTACATGAGGATATTAAAGAATGCTCAACTATTAGCACATCTAACTCTATTGTGTTTGACAAATTGTATGATTGGTTATTTATAGACTTAGAAGCAAAAACGGAAGCATCTGAAGAAGAACAACCTGAAGTTCCTGGTGCACTGTAGATGCTGATGGAAAAGTTGAGGCACTTGACTTGAAGGAAGATGATAGCAGGACCCTGTAGCCATCTATCGTGGAACTGGCCAAATTAAAATAGAAGCAATTCCAAACTTTACCTATAATTATTTCATATTGTCAAAGTACAAAAAGGTCAGAGGGTGGACCATCACTGATATGAGGGGATAAGCCTTGCATTTTATATGCATAAGATCTTGTTGGAGGCGTAAGTAACTCTATTGAAAGCCAAAGAAGACTCACTTCGAAGATGAAGGAAGTCGTGAAGAAGGAAATCTTGAAATGGTTGGATGCTAAAGTCATTTACCCCACTCCGAATAGTTGGATGAACTTAGTCCAATGTGTGCCAAGAAATTAAGGAGGGATACAGTAATTATGAATGAGGAGAATGAATTTATCCCGACGAGGATAGTGAATGGTTAGAGAGCTTTGAACTGAGTTGTGCAGGCCTTACGCAGCTGATTCTAGGTCGAGATGGAATAGGGTGTGAACAATCTATACCATTTTCAAACAGAGCCTTGTAGGATGATTGAGAATGCCTTACATTTTATCGTATTTGAATATGCATGAAAATCCATGATGGACACAAAGGTCTCCATGTGATCTACAAGACCCGTTGAGCCATCATAGTTTTGTTGAAGGCCGCTAGATGATTCTTCTTTGGAATTGGAACATCCAAGATAGCCTGAGCAAAAGGTGGCTCTTTTTGCTCATCATCCGAAGAAGGCTTGTCTTTGGCCTTCTTGAGGTCACCCTTAATCTCACTGATTGGTTCCTTCTTCAATTGGTCAAACTACATTTGTAGGCTCAGATTGCCTTCCGATTATGACTTCTTAGGGTGTGGTTTCTCAGCTTCGTTATGTTTTTGAGCTCAATTACGATTCAGAGTGTCTCATAGATCTCCATCATCTCTTTGAGATGGTCTAAGTTGATAAGAATGAGCGCAGATCCCCCTTAGCTAGGGATATATCATTTCCATCGAGAATAAATTTCTCTACGTGTAGTGCGCGACCTTCTTCGTTGGAATGTCATCCATCTTTGCCATTTATGGGATCACAAGGAATCTCTAGTTTGGGCAACTGGGGGAGAGGTACCCGACATTTTGCAAGGCTTGTGTCATGGCCTCAATTCTTGCCTACATCTGGGTGACTTTGAGACTGCAAGTTGGTAGCTGACATCTCATCTACAGGCATAGATTGTATTTTCCTTCTGTAGCTCACGTTATTGGCTTGGTAGCCATTGGAGGGTTTAGGAATATTTTTCTAAGTATTGCCATTAGGAGGCAAGTTCGGATCCTCCACATTGTGTTGCTCGAAGCTTGGGAATTGTTCGTCATTAAAGACTTTGTTTCGCATCGATTCCCCATAGATGATGTTAAATGTTGATGTTGTATTCTGTTGAGCTACTAATATCGACTTCTGACAAATCCAATCGAGCTACGAAGGAGCGAACTGCACGATGAGTGACATGCACAGAAGGAACAAATACGCAGACGCTCAAGTAAGTAAGAGTTCGAGCTCAGTTGGTCGTTCTCAGATAGAATCACGTTCTTGAGTTGGAGAAGTGGCCTTCCTTTTATAGGCAGAGTGGGGAGAGAAGTTCATTTGGTTTGTTCGGATAGAAGGTTGGGGCGGTTACAGATTATCAGATCTGAAGTCGATATCTTAAGTTCGGTTCAATAGAACTTGGGTGATTCTTTATGGTTCATCTGTCTTTGCTTGATTTCAAGAGTAGGTCGGTCTTCTCCTTTTGGTTGAATAAGCTGTTTAGATGTTACTGAGGTAAGATGATTGGTTTACAATGTTGAACTTTACCCTCCAACATAGTTTAACAAAGAAGGTGTAAAAATTGAACCTTAAAGGTTAGAGAAATAGATATATCTTATCGTGGAGGTGACATAATCTATTAAAAAATGATTATATATGGTAACATTATTATTATCATTATCATATAAAATTTTCGTTTTATATCTTTTGGGTTTAAAAAGGGGCATTAAATGATTAGATGAGACAACTAAAAGTAAAGTAGGAAAGTAAATGTCGAAAAGTAAAGCAGGAAAATGACTATTTTTTTTTTGTCATCTTTTTCTCTTTTTGGTTTATCGTTACTCAGATATTGGCACAATTAAGTTTTAAATTTATTTCTAGCTAAAATTATAAAGTTTACCGATAGAAATCATCATCTAACCCAAAAAAAAAAAGGGACACTTTAAGAGATGTCAAAAAAAGTTAGGAAACTAAGCAAAATAGCAATAAGGTTTGAGTTTTTCAAATATAACATTTTTTTTTTTTGCAAAAAAACGGAGGTCCACGTTCTAAATTACAAGTATACCCTGCAGGCCCGAACCAACAATAAATTACTTCTAATTGACTTCTGATATACTAATGATTGGCAGATATATTTCTGATATATATGTGATATATGTTTAATATACATATAGTATGAAATTGATTTACTTCTGATATAACTACGATATCTACTACTATAGGTGACATAGAATTGATTGACTTCTGATATACTATTGATTTACCTATGATATAACTATAATTGACAGATATATTCCTGATATATATGTGATATATGTTTCATATATATCTGATATGAAATTGATTTATTTCTGATATGACTATGATATATATTACTATAGGTGATATAGAACTGATTCACTTTTGATATACTATTGATTTACTTATGATATAACTATGATTGACAGATATACTCCTAAAATATATGTGATATATGTTTGATATACATATGATATGAAATTGATTTACTTCTGATATAACTATGATATCTACTACTATAGATGATATAGAACTAATTGATTTCTGATATACTATTGATTTACTTCTGATATAACTATGATTGACATATATACTTTTGATATATGTTTGATATACATATGATATGAAATTNATATACTATTGATTTACTTCTGATATAACTATGATTGACATATATACTTTTGATATATGTTTGATATACATATGATATGAAATTGATTTACTTCTGATATAACTATGATATCTACCAATTATTTAGAACATATTACCTCTAACATATGTTTTCTGATATACTACTAATATATGAAATAATTTTTTTTTTCAGATAAAAGCAATGGTACAAACACGAAAAATAAAATAAAAAAACATCGTAAAAAATGTTGATGTTGTTCATCCCAAAAGACAGCATAAACCAACGCCAAAAGTGTTGTCTATGAAAAAACAGAAAGCTTAAAAGATATTATCTCCGAAGACACGAAAATCACCAAGAACGAAGATTGATATCCCAAGCTTTTACCTAAAGATTATACAAGAATGAAACTTACGCTTTTCTAGACTGTTGGAACTTATGCTTCTTTTTTTATAGAATTTTAAGAATGACATTGTTCATCTACTTTTGGTTTATGCTACTGATTCGTTTTGATGTTTAAACTTTTAAGTTTTTGGTTGAAGGGCTTTGCTAGTGATTTGATGTTGATGTTTATACCCAAGAATGATGTTCAAACCTTTTAAGAATGACATTGTTACTGATTTCATTTTGATATTTAAAACTTTAAATAAAACTTAATTGTACTATTGATATATGTACGATGTATACTTGATATATCACTGATATATTATTGATATACAGAA